TAAACTTTTTATATGACAATAAATTAAAGGTAAGCAAAAAAAAAAAAAGAAGGAAAAAAATTGAAAGTATATAACAGGAAATAACAGTTTTTCTAAAGAAATTTGCTAATAATACTTCTCAATCATTTAGAGGCCAACTTTTATTCTTAAAATTTTTTTATTTATTTATGGATTTTTTGTTTTTTTTGTTTTTGCTTTTTTTTGAAATTTAATCAGTGCAACAAGAATTTTGAATTGTTGAACACTGTAAAACTGATTACCACCATTAACATCTACAACTTTTTTTTTTTTTATTTTGCAGTTAAAAAAATTACCAGCCACCAATTCATTGCTTCATTTTTGTGACGGGCCGTGCGGTCCACTTGAGACCGGGAATCTGGAGTTTCACATCGCTCAAATCATGGAAGATTCTGTTGTACTTAACCTTCATAACGGATGGTAAGGTTCTGTCCTGTTTCTTGCCGACCACCTCCGGCGTCGCTTTCGTGCGCATCTACTTTATTCCTGTTTTATTCCTACCGGAACCGTTTGCTGAACTGTTCATCTGCATCAGTACATCTGCATCGTCAACTAAACGGATACCGGAGTTGGTGCCTGTTGTTTTACTTTATTTATTTGTCCATTTAACACCCCAATTAACTACAGTATAATTCCTATTGTAATTATTCTAACCTGGCCTTTCTGTCTTCAGAATCAAACCGTAAGTGTCTGGGCATTCTGAAGATCTTTTACTAATAATCAATCCATAAAGAGTAGAATAGATAAAATTACTATTACAAGCTGAATCTGCGGTGCAACTTTTCCAGTTTTTTGTTGTTTTTTTTTTCTTCGTAAATTATAAGGCAAATATGGTGGTGAAGCAGTCGGTAGTAAACATTTCATCGTTTCAGTAGCTCGATGAGAACATACCTGATTAGAACACAAATGAAGAAAGATTTGTGAAAATTCTAAACTAACACTGTCCAAAGTAAACTAGAATTAACCTTCTACTAGTGCCTGTCAAATATCAACTGCATTTCCTGTATATTAAAAAATTTTTAACCCAGATGAGTCGATGTAAAAACGAGAGGTAGCAAATTTCCCGTAAATTTTGCTCCCACTTTATTTTGAAATATTCTCTACGGTTTATTCTGTTATTCATTACGAACAAAGTTAGGGGGAGTTTATAGTTAGACGGCTCAATAAAGAAACTTTGAAAATCAGATGGCAAGTTTTTTTTTTTTTTGCTTGATTTAGACAAAGCAAAAGTTTTATTTTTGATATGCACCGGTTCTTACCGAAAAGAATTTACACACTTCTGTTCATATCCTCTACAGGGGTATGGCGAAACAACTATCCTTCACCATTTTGGTATCCACAAACTACGGAGCAGTTGCTGTGAGATATGATGTTTGATGCTGTTTCATCAGCAGATTGGTTCAGCTTGAGAAGTTTACAGTTAGAAGTTTTTATTTTTTCTTCAATTTGATTTATTTATTTGTCTATTTTTTCTTGGCCCAAGATGGCCATCAAGCACATATGAGCCGAAAATGTGTTTAATTTTTTTATCTGGAACTTTTTAATACTTTTTTTTTTTTTTTTTTTTCTACTGTAATTCGACGTCACGTTCTGCTGCCTCGCTTCGTTGGTCTCTCTTATGTTTAGTGAATTTGGAAATTGCAGATTGATTAAGAGCGTTGAACCAAGTTGTGAAGTTGGTCTGCAAAACATTCACCTACCGGCCCCTTTTACAAGACAAGAATCTCAAATGGGTGATTCAGGTGCGCGGAAAATCTATCAGTATTTTTGTCCATTTGGCAGGAAAGTTTTTCTTCGGTAAGGCCCATAATCTTTAATTTTTGTTAATCTTTTACTACTCTTCTTGGATATTGATTCTGTGAAGGACGGGCACCCTCTTAATTATTGTTTTTCATCTAAACCTTCTTGTAGGGACGTAAACAACGTGAATAAATTTGTGTATAATTCACTTAAACAAACGCCAAAATCCTCGTGCAGCTATGGCCCCAATTATCCTAACCATAGAAAACGCACTAGAGCTTTGGAGCTTCCAGTCATAGAAAATAATAAAAGAAGCCGTCTCCTAGTAAGTGTTCTCCAGTCAATTAGTTCTCGTTAGTCTTTTCGCTTTTTTTCCGTTCTTTATTTTCATAATTCTTTTTCGCACCTCAATCGTTGTTAATAACAATTAATAAGTTTTTAAGACTGGTGATAAAGGAAGTCCGAATGATGACCATCAAGACGTTATATCGTCAAATAAGCTAGAAGAAGTAAAAGAGCCTAGATGCTCCTTACTTCAGCAAGAGCTTCCAGGCGAGCTTCATGTGGTAAGCCGCAGTTTCACAGTCACTTTTCAGCCCCTTTTTACCCTACCGAGCGCCTCCTTTTCCGTATAGTTTCTAGGTTTACTGAGTAAATCTGTTTTAGTTGGTAATTTTGATTTCATCGTACGTTAAAGGGATCCTAAAGCCACGGTAACTGGTCAGTTTTTTAGGATTACTCTCTTCAAATTCTACCGCATCCTCAGGTGTCATCAACAGCTTTTGAGAGCATAAGTGCCGATGTTTTGGTCAATTTGCTCACCTCCATGTCAGATAAAGAGTTCAAAAAGAAGTTTTTTTTGGTTGATTGCCGTTACCCGTTTGAGTATACCGGTGGACATATTAAGGTTGTTTCACTAACTGATCTTTAGTTTTTATGCCTCGAAGCCAACTTTCTGCCTGCTTAGTATGTCTTAAAGCAGTATTTATACGACCACTTGGAAGGCCACCATGTGTTGTATTGTATTTAAATGTCGTTTTCATCTTTATTCTTTTCTTCATTTACCTATTAAATTTCATTTCTTTTTTAGTAGTGACGTCTAAATCGTGCCACATTTGTAAAGGCACACAACTGCCTTTTAGTTAAAATGCTTATTTAGGGTGCTGTCAACCTGTACGATCGAAATGAAATAGCTAATGTTTTTTTCCCAAATGATATCACCCGATTCGTTGCTATCTCGCGGAAAATTCCAATATTCTATTGCGAATTTTCCCAGAAACGCGGACCGGCTATGTCAGCGAATTTTTTTTTAATGATTTGATTGAACATTAGAGCTGGTTTAATGTGCTAGTTTTTGTGGCTCTGGTTTACTTATAGTTGATGATAGTATTACCGATTTTTGCCTGCATTCCAGTAGCAGTGTTTTTTTCCTAGGTTCATGTGAAGCAACCAATTTTTAGCATTCACCATGCAGGCTTCAGCAAAAAACAAATGTTTGATTTACCTGTATTATCGTTTGAGATGAATTTCAGAGCTCATGAGCTACGAGCTTATGATCGTAAGCGGAATGAGAGTCGCTATCCGGAGGTTGACTACAAAGAAATTTACTTGTTGGACCGTGGATACAGCAGCTTTTTCAAAGCCGCGCAGACACAGGTATGCCTTTTACTTTTTTTTTTTTCTTTTGCTTTCTTTTACTACAATTGTTGTTTAGGGCCTATGCGAACCAAATGGATATGTCAAGATGGTGGATTCGCATCACTTAAAGGAGTTGCGAAAGTATGATTTACACAGGACAAAAATCGTGATGTCAACGTCGAGGCACTTTTCACAGCTTGCGCCATCACTTCGCAGAGGCCGACTTCACTGCCCCAGTCTCTTGTCGACTCGTAGTTGCCCTTTGTTTGATTTGGATGAGTCGTCACCAGATGTTAGTTCAATTCTCTCCAATACGTACTGTGCTGTTGTTCAGTACCGTAGGGTCACTAGTGATTTTGTTTGTTCATTTTGCAACTTTTAGACCAAGAAAAGAGCAGTAGTACAGCTGGCGCAAGGCGATGAACTTTTCCCTCTTTGTATGCTAGAGGACAATAATGACTGCAAATCGGATGAGTTGAACATATCAGGGACTTTCGAAGACGATTTGGTTCAATGACTCTTGATAAGAAATGCTTAGGAAGGTTGTTCACTTTTGCGGTAAAGATTATTTGTTTACATTCAGGATTTTCTTACATTTTTTTTTGATTAATGCTTTAGTATTTTTTCTGTTGCAACCTTTTAAGAAATGTAAATTTTGTTCGACTTGTGTTTTTCCTTAATTATTATTTAATTTTTTAATGTAAGATTCGGGCGGGTGCAGATGGGTACATTTGTTACTTGGAAAATTCTTTTCTGTGGAGTTTGAAAAGGTAGCATACGTAATGGGAATAGATATTATTTTCAAAAATTGGAAAAGATCCTGGACGTGGCTCACTCTAGTTGTTTTATAATACCTTCATTTTTTCTTTATTTTTTGGAGGTCGCATACTCTTAGGTTATTCACCTCATTGCTTTTACCTCAGTTGTCCCAGTTTTGATATCTATGTCATTAAGGACCTTGTGAACCGGTTAACTCTAAAATAATATTTTTAGTTCTTGGGCGCCTTTTGTGTTTAGAAATGCGTAAACTTCTTTTGTGGCTATATTTTTCTTACATTCTTTGCATGGTGTGTTATACTTGTGATACTAATGCTTTTTATCTAAACTTCTCAAATTAAATTTTGTATACACTGTATAGGATTTCTTAGGCATCTGGTTGAGACTAAAAAGTTTTAGAGGTGGGGTATTTTAAGTTTCGCTTGCATGAATTTTTTTATTTAAGTTTTTGATCTCTCTGAATCTGTGATACCTTTTTTCTATTTGATTCAGCGGTTAGAAAATAAATTACGCCTACCTATTAGTTTGTTTTTTTTTTTAAATATTTAATTTGTACGCCATCTCGTGGGTTATGTTATTTAAATTTAATTTTTTTTTGTTCTCGCTCGGTCTATTATTTAACACTTTTTACGTATTGCGAAGCATTAAAAGCTGATATTTTTTTTCACTTGTTTTCTTAACGGGTCTTGTTTATTCGTTCTGTTTTTATGGTTCTGTTAGCTAATTGGTCATTTGGTACCATTTTTATGAATAAATTTTAATTTAATATTTATTTTTTTTTCATTAAGTTTCTTCAGTTCGGTGTACAAAACTGTATTGTAGTATACGGTCAGAATAATGTTGATCTTTGACGGGGCTCAGTGGAGGTTGTCTTTACCAACTACTTCCAAAAGTTGGTAATACCAAATTGTTGCGGTAGAATTGGGAGGGAAGGCCATCTAATGGTTGACTGTGACGGTGTTACAGCACAAATGGAGCAACCAAAATGAAGTCTGCAGTTCAGTATGTGCTTCAGTCTTCAAAGTAAGCATGAGACACTTTATTTGTTGAAGACTGACTTGTTACTCACGGCTGTCGACAAGATTGTTTTTTGTTTGCTACATTTTGACGAGCGGAAGCCTGTGGTAGATTGCCGCTGCAACATTTGAGTGTTTTCTGTACTACTCGAGGTTTCATTGTATCTTGTTAAATTAGGCAGAGGTTGTTTGCCCGTAAAAAGTCGGTGTGGTTGACTGTTACTGAGCAGAAGGTGTGTATAAGACGGAAATAATCGGAGTTCTTTTTTGATGCTGCTGCAGTCGTGGTTTTTTAATATTATGGCTGAAGGAAATGAGATTAAGTTTGTAATTTAAAGTATTTATTTTCTTTAGCTGTAAGTTTTTTCTGCTTTTGAGCCTTGTCAAGAATTGATAATTAGTTGGGTTTTTCCTTCGATATAGAAGTGACCTCACTGAGGTGCAATAATTGATTTAGTGAAAAAAAACAAGTAGCTACTGTAATGCATTTGGCGTGAAAATCGATATAGTCGAAGCTGTTGCAACACAATTGATTGCAGCGCGCTGTGAAAGAGCATAGATCGACTTGGTAATTTACCATAGAAGCATTGTAATTTGGTAGGTAATTTTAGAAGGATTTGAAGTACTTTTTGTATGGTTTCTGATATGAGATCGTTTTTATACAGTATTTGTCATCTGCGATATACTAAATACGATTGCTCAGAGATATTCAGGGGAATGTGTAGAGTTTGTTGAAAGTTCAGTGTGTTAGTATCGGTAACTAATGGAAAGCTTCGTGAAAGTTCCAGGAGGTTTTATCATGGAGCAAAACTGAGGACACTCATTCCCAACTGCTGGTTGACTTGGACAGATGGGTGCAAAAGTAACTGTAGTTTCCAGTTACCAATTTATGTTTTGCTCGTTTTTATGTTAAGAATTTACAGTTTTACAGGATTTATGCTATACAGCTGTTACACAAGGAGTAGGTGCGTGCTATACATTAGTTAAAAATAAAAAAAGAAGTACTGCTTGTGGTATTCACTAACTGATTCATGTTTTATTTATTTCGGGAAGCGTGCGCCGCTCAAAAATTTATTTTAAACTTTAGTTATTCATCGGGATCTGCTAATCTCAAGGAAGATACGAACAGTTATTAAAAGATGTCAGAAATTGGGTAAGAAGCTGTTTTTTAATTTTCTTCAAGCGAGGTGTTTTTTTCTTGTGCAGTCACACTTAAAATCTTACTACGCTTACTTTAATATTAGTTTGCCAATTCAAAAGTAGTTTCTTTTTTTTTTTTT